ATTTCAAGAAAAACAACCACTTGCATTGTTTCACCACTGAATGTTAATACTTACTTCATTGGTAACTTAACACGGGGCTTAAAGTACGGTTCCTTTTGGTCAGCCAAAAAGATAATCAACTCATTTCCTGCAAAGCAAGTAAGACAATGAATAACACAGGAGGATTGTAAAATAAATAAAAATGTGCAAAATCAACATTTAAAAAGACATTCCACTAATAGTCATCCCTCACAGCAGCAAAAACTTTGTACATCCCTCACAGCAGCAAAAACTTTGAGACTCCCCATACAACTACTTCCTCCTCATTCGTAAGGAAGCAAAAGAGACTTCTTCAATACAACCTATAAATCTGATTGCATCTCAGAGGAATGCTAATATCAAGAATTTTCTTTGGGACTTAGTGTAGACCTTTCCCTTTACTATTGTTATTGCATTGCTTAAAATAAAACTTTCCTATAATGAGTTAAGAAACATTACACGTAGAAAAGTAGTAGGTATCAGTTCTATACAAATAATTAAAGCTTAAAAGCTAACTCAAATGAATTATTTTAATACTGTCTCTGACACTCCTCCGAAGTTGGCTGACAAAAGCACTTTAAGTGGAACTCACAGAAGTAACCCGGTTCCCTGCATCATTTCCTCATTTAGAGACAATGATACAAGGCACTATCATATAATTATTTCAGACAGATCTTAATAAAACCCCATATTTTATGTTGCACAAATAATTGAAATGCAGAGAAGAAAAAATTATTTTAATCTGAATGATGAAATGTATTTTCAGTCAGTAAACCAAAATAAACACACACTATTGCAAGCAAAATAACAGTTCACAGCTACAGAAAAAAATACAGTTTTATTAATCATCCTTTAGTACATTTCTTTTCTACACTCTCCAAGAAACTCACCTGTAGCATCCCAAACTGCAAGAACTAGGTTACCTACCAAAAATAATTCTACGGCTTCAAACTTTAGCTACGATAGTATATTTCTAAAGCATCATTCTGTGGCAAAGCTCACAGCTGTGAAATAGCAGAATACAAGCTTCCGGGCTATGAAAAAAAAAAAAAAAACACCAACCAAAAAAACCCTGCCATAAATGTATTTGCCAAGAAGAATATGCCAACAAATGAGTAAATGAAAACAAATCCTTTCAAAATGGATAGGGGCAACTAGTGCAGTCCCATCTGGCAAGCTAATAAAGCCTGCCTTGCACTACACATTCACAGATGATTGAAAAAGTTGGCACACATAAGGTGAAAAAGCCTGCTGGCTGGTTAAGCTTTTGATAATAAAGCTGTGGGTTGACTGCTAAAACTTGTAATTCTGATTTCATACTATAGACTTTCACCTGCCTTTTTATCATCTGTGTGGTAAAGTAATGATGATGAAGAAGCAGCAAATGTGTTTTCACACACAGCAGGTTCCAAGTCAATTACACCACTCAGATAGTAGATTTTATGGTCACTGAAGATAGATTTAGGTAAATTTCAGCTCAGTGCTCATCAATAGTCAAAACAAACTGACTACTGGAAGTTATTAGATGAACAGAAAACAAAATCGCTACGCCCCAACATCAATCCATAGTGCACTCATTCTAGATGCTGCTTGCAGTTCTTGTCCTCATCTCAAAAAAAAGTACACAGGAGGGTGTGAAAAAAGGGAACAGTTTCTACAAAAACAACAATTAAGGAGATGAGAGGTCTTCAGTCTAAACATCTGAGTGAGGATACCACAGAAGCTTTCAAAATTCTCCAGTGAAATGCAGAAGGTGAGTAGGGGAACGACCACTCACTGCCCTGTACTTCCAGAAGAGGCATCAAACACAACCAGAGGGTGATAGGTTGAACAAGCGAACAGCATGAGTTTCCCCACTTATCCCTATTTTGCGCAAATACTTACAAAACAGGTACATGTATGCATGATTCCATTTACTCGTGTGTTTTTAGTTACAAAAAAATGACTAAACCCAGGGTCCACTGGTAATTTTGAATTGTTTTTGCAATAAAATACTTCTGGATCTAGAGTACCTCATGCTGAGCTAGTTTCCCTTCTCTTACAAAGCTCTGAGTACAAACTGGTTTTACTTCCAGGTATCTGAGCACATGGAGCATACTCTCATTCAAATGAAGTAATTCAAAATCAGAACAGTAATATAAATCCTGCAAAAAGCCCAAGCAATCATCCCCACTTCCTTATTGAGGGCCAGGATTATTAAGACTGAGCTTCTTTACCAAATCATTGTTGCTCAAAGTCTATAGTATTATCTCCAGTGCTCAGTTCTTCAGCACTATTTAGAATGGGCTACCATTTCTTCCGCTACTTAGAATTTTACTACTTAGAATCGGCTATTACTTTTTGTTTAGAAGGCGGTCTGTAAATTTTTCAAGCTACTTTTTGTCAAGACTTGGATTATGAAAAATAATGTTTTCAAGTAGGTTACTTTAGGCTGATTTTTACATAATGTACCAAGTAGGAAAACTATAGCAAGGGTGGCTATGCAGAAGCAAGGAAGAAACCATGAGTCTCATTTCTAAAACTTTTAACTTTGCATTTTTATATGCATTCATCTGAAAGATAAGGAAAGAAAAAAATTGCTTCCTATAACTGACGTTCATTTAAAATCTAATCTTTCAGTGCATTTTTCAGTAGATGAGCCAGTGGAGCATTCTGAAGGAGCCATGCATTTAAATATCTCAACTAGATGGGAAATTCACTCATGCATTACTGAAGATACTTGCAGAAACATTTCTGAGATTGAATAAAAAAAGGTGAATTTGAGAATATATTTATTAACTTAAAGCATAACTTCAAGCAGCCAAAATAATCCAAGATTAACCTTCACAAATAACACTGAGCACCAATAAACTCTGATTTGGGCCATACAGAAACTCATGGCAGATAACAGCTATGAGGAACACATTTATCTAGCCTTCCATTTTAAGATAATGTTCAAGGTAAGATAATAATGTAATTTACCCTCTTTACAACTGTGAAATGTTCCTATTTTCCACAATATCGTGAAAGCAGGAGCAAAAAAACAATTTGTGACCATTCACACTGTAGGACAAAATCTTTAGATTATTTCACAACCATAAATCCGACTTCTAAGTAATTCTTGCCTTATACGAAGCCACATGCTTAGTTCAAGTTACAAAATCTTTTCCCATACAGAAGGTATCTCGGGAGAAAAACAAGTATCGATTTTAGTCTTGAAAATCACTTTATTGTCCGCGATGCTCGCCCTCCACAGTACCACAGACAGACCTGAAGGCTGAACACGGCGCTGGAGGCCAGGCCGAAGGAGCGGGTGGGAACTGCTACCAACAGCGGTGCCTCGAGCTGAAAGGGCCCCACACGGACCACCGAGCCCGCTTCCCGGATCCTGGCAGGGCAGCTCCACCCGGGAAAGTCTCTCCCTCACCACCAAGGGTCTAGAAAGCTGCTATCAAACAAGCAGCTCTTCCAGGGGGCTCTCCAAGAAGGGAGGCCGAGGCCGAGCGGCCCCCGAGGGCCGGCGCAGGTGCCCCACGGGCGCACCGCGGCGCCTGAGGCTGCCCGCCCTCACCGGGCCCCGCCAGCCTTGAAACGCAACCAGGAGCGCACTCATGACCGGCGCTCGTAACACCGGCAGCGATATACCCAAGGCAGCACCCCAACGGCTGCGCGACCGCCCGCTCACCCTCCTCCAGACCGACGCCTGTAGGCGACGGCGGCCCCGCTCCCACCCCCAGCGCACTCACCGCCTCGCAGCACGAACAGGTCCGTCTGCTTGTCCGAATTGAAGTCGCCGAAGGCCGCTAGGGTCCCGTAGGCCTCCGCCCCGAAAAGCTGGGCAGTGAA